GCGGATGGAAATGGAGTCGAAGGGGGCGGGGTGCAGCAGAAGGGAGCAGAGATGTTTGGAGGCTTTTTTTTAATATAAAATTATTTATTTAAATAAAAATGGCCGCCGTGGAGAGCGGAGAGGAGAGACTGTAAGTGGGGTTTTTTACATTTTATTCTCCATAAAGAGCCGCCGCTGCCGCCGCCTCCGACCGTTTTCTGTCGTGTGTTTTATTGAAGTAAAAAGTGCGTTGGTTTTTACCCCGACCTGTCTCCGCGGAGCGGGGTTAGCGGGAATACGTCACCAACTTACTGCTAAGTGTGTACTTTAGCTGCTGTAGCCGGAGCCGAGCTGGGGGGACAGCCCCTAGCTTAGTCCGCTCTCAGAGCACCGCCAGGCCGCGGGAAGTCGGGCCGGTGTGTCCGCCCCGGTGTGTCCGCCCCGGTCACCCGCGCTGTGTCCGCCTTCCTCCGTCACACAGCCTGCTAGCTTAAGAGCTGTTAGCTGTTAGCAAACACCGAGTGTGTTTTTATCTGAGGAGACTGCTGCTCAGTAACCCGGGTTAACCCCCCTACACACACACACACACACACACACACACACACACACATCCCGTTATATACCCCCCCCCCCTCCTCCTCCCCCTTAACAGCTAGCTGAACAGACTGTTGTCCTGATTAGCTGCCTCAGTGCCGCTGAGCCAGGAATCAAACTCGGGACTCTGCACAGGACGGTGGGGACAGCTTCATGCTTCATCACACTCACACACACACACCGAACACACACAGGGGTCCCAACCTGAGGGTCTAGATCAGGGGTGGGCAACTGGCGGCCCGGGGGCCACATGCGGCCCCCATCAACCCTCAGCGTGGCCCTCAGGTCAACTTTTACACATCAATTAATTTGAAACATAAAGAAAAACACGATGAAATCATGAAAACCAGAAATATGTCCATAATAATATTTGATCACTGGTATATGTTGAGATAAAGTTGAGACATAATCGACTGTAATGTTTTTTGTATTCCACTATTTGGCCCTCTGGCGGTGAGATTTAAATGAATGTGGCCCCTTGCTGGGACCAAAGTGGCCCCTCCCTGGTCTAGACCCCCAAAACCAGACAACAAACAGGCAACATGCTGTATTTGACGAGGCTGGGATCAAAATGATTAATTATCAGTTAACTTTTCAAACAGTGAGAAAAGTCAGATTGTGGAGGGTGGAGCACGAACAGAGGATCAGCTGTTTGTGTTGTCCTACACTTTCTGTTTCACTGATCGTCTGACAAGAATTAAACCTGCGGATCACTTTGATAAGAATCAGCTTCAGAGACTTTAACCTGCAGAGAAAATCAATCCGTGCTCATCTTTTGACGTTATCATCAGAGCAGAGACTGCTGTGAACACTTACCGTTCAGGTGCGTTCAGGGACACCATCAGAGTCAGTAAAAGCTCAGTGTGCGTGAGAAAAACTAATTCTTTAACTGTGCTTCCACACAGGAATCATGGCTGTAGTCACGCCCACATGCAGGACTCTCAGGTGTGTTGTTGTGCAGAGTAGTTCTGTCGCGGTGAGCTAGCATGGCTCAAGAGCGTTTGCATGCTGTTCTATCGCTCCTCCCCTTTTTTTATTTATTTAGTAAACTTGTTTGTAAATTAGGTCTGAAACTGGCTCGCCAGCAATAATATCTGGCCGGCAAGATTGTGAATTTGAGGTATTTTATTATTTTGATCACGCCATGATAATCAGTGACACAAACATTCCCGCCACGGAACAGAGTGCGAGCAGCGCTGCAGACAGTAGACAGCGCCCGGTGATGAAACAAAGCAGCGTCACAGCAGCAACAGTTATCACATCCTCTTTTGCCAACAAAGAAACAGCAAGACGGTTCGTTTTATTAAAAACCTGTTCAGTATGATTTGGCTGCAGAATACATAACGTGACCGGGGGGGGATACGCTGCACGGACATTGATGGCATCCAGACCTCACTGAGTTCTGGGTCAGTTGAGTCAGTTTTCACATTAAGTAAATTAAGCCTGTCGTTTTGTATTTTGTGGCCAAATCGTACTGTACACGTTTTTAAGAAACACACTGTTGTGTGGGGTTTTGTTTGGACACTACCGTCTACATCGCTGCTCTTCTGTCCCGGTTACTGATTGTCACTGCGTTGTTGTTTAGAAAGTCACAATCAAAATAATCTTGTGTTCCAGTTACTATTTGCAAGGTGAGACCTCAAACTGGATGCATTTCCTTGTGACACCTGGATGTTTTGGTGCAGATTTTTACATATTGCATCATCTGAATTCTCCTTTTTCATTTGGCTGAAAGCTGAAAAGTTCCTTTGGTTTAGTTACCGGTGCAGTTGTCATTGTTTCCGTCTGAACATGAGTTGGGGTGACGTGACTTGCGGTTGCCTCCATGCTTAGCTTGTTTATACCGCCGTATTTCATTAACAGGGACACCCTGATCCCCGTAGATAGTGGCGGCGTCTCTCAGAGACTCTGCATCACACAAGGAGTTGATTTCTGATTATAAACTGATTTGTAAAGTAAACGTCCCGATTACATCACGTCAGCTTCTGGTGGTTGAAAAACAGCAAAAACAAATCGAGAGAAACACGGAGAAGCAGATCAGATACTTGGTGTAAGGGAAGATGATTTGCTGTGACGTTGATGTCAAATCAGGAACGCTCTGAGAAGCTAAATGTAGACGTATAGCTGCGTTTTATATCTTCAGTCCTGGACACGATCACAAAAACAAAAACTGTAAACGTCAAGAAAATGACATGTCTTCAGTGTTTCTTTGAATAAACTCTGGGTCTCTCTACAAGGTAGAAGATGTCCAGTATCACACACATGGCAAATGCAAACGGTGGTGAATCGTTAAGAAAATCATCTTCCCCTTACTATTGCTGTCCAAACTCATAAAGTTCCACAAAGTGATGAAATGTTCAACAAATCGTGTTTTAAGATTCGCCTTTGATCAAATGAGCTAGCAGAGAGATGTCTCACAAGCTAATACAGCTAGCACATCGTTCCTCTTTCCTTTCAAGCTGTGTTCTCTTCCCTTCAGTTTTTCTCAGATAGGACCCAGTGTGCGCTGCGCTTGCCACAGAATAGGTCGCAGAGCATGAGGAGAGAGCACACACGACCAAAAAAGCAATGGCGCTCATTGCTAGGTGACCGAAACAATAGTCTGGAAAATAGCTACTTTTTGGACTTGCAGTATGTTTGTTTCTGTTCACTCTGAGTTGAGTTAACTCCTGCTCATGAAAGCAGATGTTTGTGTTACAGGAAATTGTGGCTAAAAAAAAACCCAATCAGGAAGTGAGTGTGTCTAAATCACTTTGTCTGCAAACACTGAAACACGTCCCCTGATTTTTAAAACTGAAACGAGGCAGGAAGCTAAAAGCGGCAGTCTCATGAACCCCAGGTGTAACGCATTTAAAGTTACATAGAGTTGTGAACGCCGAGCAGGTCTGTACCTCAAATGATGTCATCAGTGATGCCATGTTAATAGATGATGTCATCCTTTTTCTTAGGGAGGAGGGCCAAGAGGGTGAGGGACCTACTGACCCTCAGCCCCCTGCCAGGTCCCACAGTAAGTCCAAGAAAGGTCGTCGTGAGCGCCGCCATGCTGACAGAGGGACTGAATCCACGGCCACACCCCAACCAGCTGCACTGCAGCCACACATGGGGGCGGAGCCACAGACACAGGTAAAGACAGGTGTCTCCGACAACAGAAGTATACAATTACCCTGAGGTGTACTGAATTTTATCACCTATCAAACTAAAATACAAACTAAATCATTCACACTGATGCTTTCTTCCTGCAGGTGTCTGAGCCTCAGGCCGGACCTTCAGAGGAGGCGGGGTCAGAAACGGCAGGCGGTAGTGAGTCAGCAGGTTCTCCCAGGCAGAGGCGCTCCATCATCCGGGACCGTGGGCCGCTCTATGATGACCCATCACTGCCTGAAGGCTGGACACGCAAACTCAAACAGAGGAAGTCTGGACGCTCGGCGGGGAAGTTTGATGTTTACTTGATCAAGTAAGCCACACCCACCGCTGAAGCTTCTTCTGGTTTTCACTGTAGTTGCGTTAATTGTTGTTTTTAATTTACTATGCAGCTCGGAAGGAAAGGCTTTCCGTTCCAAGGTGGAACTAATCGCTTACTTCCAGAAGGTTGGTGACACAACTACTGACCCCAATGACTTTGATTTCACTGTCACCGGACGTGGAAGCCCTTCCCGCCGTGAGAAACGCCCTCCAAAAAAACCAAAGGTGGTGAAACCATCAGGTCGAGGCCGGGGGCGTCCCAAAGGTACTCTGGTTCTTACACGACTCTTTGCCTGAAGTTATAAAATTAGTTGAGCTTGTAAATGTGTTTTGTTTTGTTTGTTTTTTTTACGCGTTTTCTTGTGTTTACGCAGGCAGTGGGAAGATGCGGCATGCTACAGAGGGCGTGGCCATGAAACGCGTTGTTGAGAAAACCCCAGGCAAACTGCTGGTCAAGATGGCAGAGTCCTCGACCGGCACTACCTCCACTGCCTCAAAGGTACAACCATTCAGTTTGATACAGAGAAGAGCATCAACAGTTTGCAGAGTTGGTTGTTTCACCTGTTTTCGATATTTCATCTGGTAGTCAGCTAATTCAGAAAAGGATCCCACAGTAGTGCCTGGACCAGACCCTTGGAGAGTGGGCAGGTAGCATGTGAAACTTTAGTCGGTGCTATGAGCTTAAAGGGATACTTCACCCGTTGAAACGTGAATCTGTTTTGACATTGGGTCATATATGTAGAAATGTGAAATACATTTTGAAGTTGGTGCCTTCTTGGCCGTGAAAAGGCAGAAAGTGTCTTTTTGTCTCGTGGATGAAAGACACCAAATCCCAGAATGCACAGCACCCCAGGCCACTCCCACCAAGGTCAGGTTTAAGACATATTTACTTCAACACATGAGGCCGTTTCCTTTACTGATTCAGAGATTTCTTCCAGAAGGAACTGGTATCTTGGAAATTCCTGGCAGAAAGCGGCGGCCAGCGGCTGCAGCAGCCAAGACACAAGACCGGCCTGTCTGCAGCAGCCGTCTCACCGCTATATTTATATTTTTTCGCCATTATCAGCTTTCTCCATAGAGCCTGTTAGCGTAGTTTCCAAGCAATATGGCGGACGTTAAGTTTAGATTCTGGGAGTAAGTTCCCACCCACTGATCTGTGATTGGTCTGTAGCTTCAGTGGTCAAAAATATGAGGAACTAGCGTTGTAGTTTCACCGTGCTAACCATTCAAAAATACTACCAGGTTTCTAATGATACAAAGCTTAATGCAAATGGGTGAAGTATCCCTTTAAAGTGTCGGCATAATCCCTACACAGTGACATTAAGTTAATCTGCAAATACAATCTGACTCCAGATCCAAGAGAGGCAGGACAGCTGTGACTGATTGTCTTGGTAGCCAAATTGTTTTTTTAGGGTATTTAAAAAAATTGAGAAACATTGTTGATGTTGATTCTACTTATTGATGTGATAATTCCCCTTAGGTGGCGTCTCCTGCACTCGTGCCCAAGTCCCGTCCCGGCAGAAAGAGGAAATCAGAACAGGAACTTCCAGTGCCACCACAGACCGCCCCCAAGAAACGGGGCAGAAAACCAACGTCGGCATCGGCATCAGCGGTTGCCACGGCATCCACCTCCTCAGCATCCACCTCTGGTAGCACCGCCGCTGGGAGCTACGCAGCAGCTGCCATTTTGGCCGCTGAAGCAAAACGTAGAGCAGCCAAGGAGTCTTCCACCAAAGCTGTTGTCCAAGAAACAGCCCTGCCAATCAAAAAACGTAAAACAAGAGAGACGGTAGAGGAGAAGGAGAGTGTCCAGACTCCCGTTGTTTCACAAGCGGAGACTGAAAGAACGGTCACTTCAGGGGGAGAGGGAGCTAAAGGGGAGGGAGTCCCTACCTCAGAGACTTTACCTGCCTCCTCGGAGAAGAGCCAATCACATACACAGAAGCAGCCCACTGCATCAGATGAAGGCCAGTCACATGGACAAAAGATGCATAGAGGAAGGAAGCACCGGGAGAAAACAGGAACATCAGACGCAGATGGAGGAAGAGGAGAGGAAGCAGATGAAGACGTGGGTGATAATCGAGGAGACGGAGGAGGAGGAGGAGGGAGGAGTAGCAGCAGCAGCAGTAGCATTAGTCCGTCGAAAAGACACAAAAGGAAGGAAAGGACGCCTCACAAACACCACCATCACCACCACCACCATCATCATCATCGCCACCAACATTCCTCTGCCTCCTCAGAGGATCAGCCTCCTCTTCCTCCAGCTCCTGCACCCCCAGAATCCTCTAACCAGTCCAGACCTGAAGCTGAGCCCCAGGCCGTGCCTCAACTCAACCCCCAGCACACTCAGCAAGCTCATCCCAGACCAAAGTCAAAGTCTGACACCCAGACCCCCCCTGAACCCCGACATCCTCCCCCTCAACCGCGCCACTTGCCCCAGCCCCATACCCTGCAGCATTCCCAGGACCAGTCGCCCACTCAACCTCAAGCCCAGGCTCGGTACCCCGCATCCCAGCCCTCTCCCACGAGGCAAGTTCAACCCCAGCCAAGTCCCCAACTTCCCCCATCCCAAACCCAGAGTCAGCGCCAGGCGTCCCCCCCAAAAGCCCAGTCAAAGCCAGTCCACTCCTCAGCTCAGCACCACACCCAGCTTCAGGCTCAGCATTCTCCATCTCAGCCCCGCCCCCCTCAGTCGCCTTCAATTCTGCATGTCCATTCAACCCAAACAAGGCATCCACATTTGCGAACCCAGTTCCCAACAGCACTTCAATCCCAGACCCAGCACAGGCACCCATCCCAACCCCAGCCCAAACAATCTCAACCAGAGAACCGGCAGTCACTTCAGCCTCAGTCTCAGTCCAGGACCCCTACCCAACTTCAAACTCAAACCCAACCCAGGACCCAACTCCGGAATCAACCCCAATCCAGAGCCCATCTTCAGACTCAGAGCCAGTCCAGAATCCCAACCCAAGTTCAGACTCAAACCCAACCCAGGACCCAACTACTGCCTCAACCCCAATCCAGGACACTTACCCAAATTCAGCTTCAACCCCAGTCCAGGACCCAAGTTCCAATTCAACCCCAAGCCAGGACCCAACCGCAGACTCAATCCCTAACCAGAGTTTCAGCTCAAGTTCAGCCTCAAATGCAGCCAAGAACCCCTGCCCAGCTTCCACCTAACCTGCAGCCCAGGCATCAGGTGCTGCCGCAACAGCCGACGAGACACCTTCCACAACATCAACCCCAGACTCAACACAGACCACAACCCAGACAGTCATCTTCCCAGCCAAGACCACCCCAGCCCCAACCCCAACCCCAACCCCAGTCCCAAGGACAACTACACTTTCAACGGATTCAAGTGCATTCGCGTCCCCATCCCCCACAGATCACCAGACCCCCTGTGCAGCACATCTCATCCCACCGACCATCTTCCAGCCTAACCAGGACCAACCTGGTCCCCGTTCTGCAGAACCAGAGTGAGCAGCCCCAAGATCTGAGCACCACACGGCCAGGAAGAGGGAGCCTGCTGCAGAGTCGAGAGGTCTCCTCGGAAGGCGTCAGGGCGGGGGAGAGAAGGGAGCCGGTCATGGCATCAGAAGGCAGAGAGGTCGTAGGAGGTGGAAGGGGGTCAAACAGTACCTCGAGGTCCATACCTCCTGGATCTCCAGTAGTAGCCGGAACCGGGGTTGGTCTGGTCCCTGGGGCAGAGGGAAGACCTAGGCTCCGAGCAGAGCCAGAGGCTGCAGGTGAGGGGAGAGAGCTCAGAGACATTGTCCCCCAGTCTGCCGTCCCCTGCCCAAGCCGGGAGGAAACCGTCGAATCACGGACTGTGGTCAGCGAACGAGTAAGCTGATCAGTGAGGCTAGCGATCAGCTGACTAATCAGTTTACTGATCAGCTGACTGATGGACTGAGTCAGCAGTGGAAGAGTCAGGTGGATAGGAGCGTGACTGGACTGTGTCGATGACTTCACGGCGTTTTCAGATAGGAATCAGTTCCCAGAGCTTCTCCTCTTGTCTGATTGAAGACTGCAAAGTTCTGGATCTGAGAATCAACAAGCACTGAGGACTGCTGGTGAAGAGATTGGAATTTTGTCTTTTTTAGGAAAACAAACAAAAGGAAAACTGATAAACAAGTGTGTGTGTATATATATAATCAAAAGGCAGCTGTTGTGTCCCGCTAGTCTCCATAGGGAGGGGGGGGGGTAGTTTGGAACTAAAAACCAATGCTTAACAACACATTACTCTGAACGAAACGTTGCTTCCGGAATATAACCTCCTTTTTATTTGTATTTTGATAGTTTATAATTTTGTCTCTGTTACAGCTTTAAACTCTGATATTATTGACTGACGGTCCCTTATTATCGTCGTGCTGCTGACTGACGGTCCTTTATTTAATATTCTGCTCTCTCAACTGATAGTCCCTTACTGAAACTGACGGTTCCTTACTGAAACTAGAACTTAACTAAAAGCCTCAGAGGGGATGTGAGGCGGCGGTTTGCACCTTAAACTGGTTTCTTAGAAATCTTTCAGTTTTTCCACCCATGGTTCCATTATGCCGTTAATAGAAAAAAAAGGGGGGGTCTATAATGTTTTCCATCCTCTTCCACACTGCCCCCTAGAGGTAGCCGTTCTGATGTAAGAGCATTACTTGTTGACTCTACACAGATCTCACTTTTAGTTTTTTAACCCATTCTATGAAGCATTCAAACAGCTCAAGGTGTTCTTGATAACGTCTTATCAGAATCTGAATCCCGGCATACACTGTACGATCGTAGAAAAGTCCCGTAGGAATATCGGCTCGCACTGCACATCTGATTTGTTTACAACGCATGACCAAAGCTCACATTTCATGTTCTCACAGAGTACGACCCAAATGTTGGACATGACCTGAGTGCTCACACTGTGGGATGGAGCATTGACTATTGTCAATAAAGTTTCTTTTGATAGCTCCCTTAGACGGAGGATGAAGTGCTCAAAAATGCTCACACACTCAGCAGCACATTTAAAAACAAACTAACTAGAAGCTAAATCATTACAAATAAGACGACACATCAGACATGCCTGCGGTTGCCATAGTGATTTCAGAGGCCGTCTTGACAGTTTGTGCAGGCACAATCAGGAAACAAGCTCTGGAGTCTGGGGAATTGGCTTGTGGCTCTGCACTTACTGCGAGTGTGTGCAGTCCAGAAATTGATCCACAGGTCAGGAGCAGCTGATTGGGCTGAAATTCGGCTCGACCTAAAAAAATTAGTTGTAGTACACAAAGATGGAGGCTTAAAATCGTACAGTGTACGCCTAGCTTAAACAGATGGTTCTTCTGTTTGATGATAAATCTTCGACCATGCTCGTTGGTTCTTCGAATGCTTCAGACATTCAGAGTTCTTCCATGGCAGAGATTCTTCCACATCGGCCTTCATTAAATCCGTTTGTTTTGGTTGTGTTTTTGTTTTCAAAAGAAGCGCTTATAAAATCAAACCAAACCCACTTTTACGGTAGCTTTACTTTTAGTTTGTCGTTTCAGTTTTTTTTAAATTGTGTCTTTGTGTTGAATGTCTGGAACAGTTTGCACTCCTCCAGTTTGTACAATCAACCGCCTGCATGTCGCTCGGAGACTCTGTAGGCCTTCAACCGGAGATGCACGTACGCAGAGGTCCAACCTCACCAGGGTTTCACTGTCAGCCATGTTGGCGATTGTGTGTGGAGACAGAACCCTGATGGTGGTCAGGTTCAGTTCCATGTGGAGTCAAATGTGCTGGAAACAGAAACAAACAGTTCACTGAGCAGCAAACTGATTTTTGAGTCTGTGGGTTCAGATTAGAGAGCGCGAAGGAGAAACGGAACAAACAGTAACACAGTCTGGACCAATGGGAGTGTAGCGTTTCTACTCTGGGTTTTCAAGGCAATGCTGCTGCGAGGAAACGTGATTTATGGAGTTTGGCAAGAAAATCTATATATTTTTGGAATGATAAGCTAAACAAGAACTCAACCTGTTAGATCACAACGGAGAGAGTCCGTCATCAGAGCGTGTAAAGATGGCAGCCAACACCTACTTATATCTGAATGTACACGAGGGTTATGTTGTGCTTTCAGTTCTTTTAGGTCAGACATCTAAACTAATTGGTTGAATTTAGATGGTTAACAGGTTAAGTCAAGTCTTAATTCTGGTTAGCGCCTGTGTTAGCTCCACTCTGCTCTTCTGTTAGCTACTCTATTAGCTCCTGTGGTAGCACCTGTGTTAGCTCCTGTGTTAGCTCCTCTGTTTGCGACTCTATTTGCGCCAGTGTTCGCTCTTCTGTTAGCTCCTGTGTACGAATGTACACACATGGGTTATGTCATGCAACACTTTCAGTTCTTTTAGGTTAGACTTTTAAACTAATTGGTTGAACTGAGATGGTTAATATGTTAAGTCAAGTCTTAAGTCGGGGTTACTTTAGCTCTTCAGTTAGCTACTGTGCTAGCTAATGTGTTAGCTCCTGTTTCAGCTCTTCTGTTAGCTGTCTTGCTAGCTCCTCTGTTCAAGTGTTAGCTCTTATGTTAGCTCCTATGTTAGCTAATGTGTTAGCTCCTATGTTAGCTCCTGTGTTAGCTCCTCTGTCAGTTGCTGTATAGGGTCCTGTGCTAGATCTTGTTTTAGCTCCTGTGGTAGCGACTGTGGAAGCACCTGTGTTAGCGACTCTGCTAGCTCTTGTGTTTGCTTCTGTCAGGTCCTCTGTGAGCTCCTGTCAGCTCCTCCGTGAGTTCCTGTTAGCTCCTTCATTAGCCTCCGCTCTGAACCTTCAGACTCTGTTTGAATGTTAATCTCTGTCTGTCAAAAAACTTCGATGTTCTTGACTCTTTGGCTCCAGCACTTCAGCGGTATCATCGCTTTAATGAGTTTACTAGACCAGAAATAATCCAATAAGTGAATGTGTTCATGCTGGATAAAAATAAATGTGCCTCGTTCTTTAAACTCCTCCCACCTGGTGTGATGTCATACAGGTGATGTAGTCCATTTCCACCTTAGGCTGAAAAATCCTCTCTGCGTACGTGGAGCTCCGCCTACCGCCCAGTCTGCTCACAGCAGCTAACCTGTTAGCATGCTGCTGCGTGGTGCAGCTGCAGAAATCAAACATCCCTCTGTGACTCCACAGGATTCGCCCCGCACAAACCCAGTAACCAGCCACCATATTGCATGTTCCAGAGTTTAGTGCCTATAATATTGTGCGTCTTGCCAGAAGCCACCATGTCAGCCAAGCCATGTTGTGTTTCTAGACTTAGTAGTGATGTGTGTGGTGACTTCATAGTTGCTAATATTGAGGATGAATATTCTGCTTTTACTCTGGTTGGAATCAGTGGAAACTCCAATACACTGTCGCTGTAGACAAAACTAGTTTTTACCTGTTTTCTTATTTTTCTTTCTAACTAAAAGCGTTTGTTGTCCCCTGATTTGCTTGTCTGCTTGTCTGACTGTCCTCACAAACACACACAAGCACACACACACGCAAAGTTTCAGAGGTTTTAATTTAACTTTAATATGAAAGTAAAAAATTATACCATCAGGCGACTCTCACAGGTTCCCTTGTATTTGAAGAGTATCTAACTGCTGTGTTGCAAACATACCCTGCATTCATGTGGTGTCGGACACATCGGAAAAGCAAGTTTCCAGGTTGGAAAACACTCGTGAACGCCTGCTCAAGTCGGAACAACTCGGAAACTCTGGAAAGAATTAGGTGTCCGACTTCATATTTGTCATCACATGGGGGGCAAAATATGTTTTGTTCATGTTAACTCTCCTTTTTGTTAACTCAACATTTTGATCAAATATATCTTGATTGTTGCTGACACTTTCCAAACTGAAAACAAAGTGAACACACTGAAGTCGGAAGAACGACCTCCCAACCCCGAAACGTGGACCATCCGAGGAGCAGATGACAGCGACAGTGTTTCCTGCTGAAACAGGATGGAACCAATCGCAAGACAGAACGCCGACATAACCTTGGGATGCATTTGATTGGATCACCTGCTTCAACTTTGTAAACGCCGCTGAGAGCAGGATGAGTCATCTGAGACGTTTGAATACAGTTATTTAGTGGTTAATGTCAGCGGCCTGTAGGGGGCCAAATTAATCCAGCGATGTGAAGAATTAAAAGTGAAGACAGCAAGTGTTCGATGTGACGCAACATCCGACGCTGCCTGTTTGGACATTTGATGCGTTTTAAAAGAACAGTTCAACATTTTGAATCTTCTCCTCGTCAGAGTCCAACTGTTTCCTCTCTCATTTCTGTATAACTTTTATGAGATCAGATTGGCGACAAACAGTTTTTCCTCAGAATCTATAAATGTTTGCTCTGTGCAGGCGAGTTCATGTTGCACTGTTCCTGTAAGAGCTCAGGTGGCGGTTTCACCTGCTGGCCTCTGGTCAGAACTGAATTTACAACACATTTTACTTTTTACACTGTTGATCCTAAAAGGCTCCTGATTAGAGTTAAAGGAATCTAAAGTCACATGATCAGACCCAATAAGAGACTACATATCCCATGATGCCCTGCTGCCACCTGCTGGTTGAAACTAGCTGTGCTGGAGACTGAAGGATAAAAACGTAAACACACAAGTATGGGGTGCCGATTGTAAAAACGTTGTTATATATATATATATATATATATATATATATATATATATATATACAACGTTAACAACGTTAACAACGAGCTAAATGTGAAGGATATTAACTAAATATTGAAAATATATCTAAAATATATATATATACTGTACGACAATGCTCTCTTGCCATCCGGTTGCTGCAAAGCATGTTTTATATTATATATATATATATATATATATATATATATATATATATAGAAATACAGAAATAATACAGTATATATATATATATATATATATATATATATTAGATATATTTTCAATATTTAGTTAATATCCTTCACATTTAGCTCGTTCTACACAAATAATAATTGCAAAGTTTAAGTGTTGAAGAAATATTTAATAATACATCTAAATGTTAATTGTTAAATCTAATGTTTTAATCTAAATCTAAATGTTAAATCGGAACCCCATACACAAGCATGAACCTTTTATAAAATACCAAATTAAATATGTTCTAATCTTTAGCTTTCACTTTACTTCATTTATTTGTCTCTTCGGGTAACAATAAATGAAACTGTGACCCCTCTGTGACCCCTGACCATGTGAATATCCTGCCATCTGATTCGCTGCGTTCACAGACCTGCAGACAGGTGGACATGGCGGCTCAGGTGTTCGTAGTGTTCATGCTGTTCCTCGGACTCTCTTCCGGTTCGGCTCCGGACTCTGAGCGCGGGAGGATGGAGCTGCGGCGCGTGCGGAGCCTTGCAGCTCAGCCCAGGTATGGAGGGTGCTGGGCTCGCGCTCTGGAACACCTGGACACGCGCTGCAGGGACCTGACGTCGGAGAGCCAGAGCCGGGTCGCGCTCAGCTTCACACTTTGTCACCTGAGCAGGTAAAACACGCAGATACACTGAGCTGCTGCAGAGTGTTCATGATGCTTCTCTTCTACTGTGTGTGTGTGTGTGTGTGTGTGTGTGTGTGTGTGTGTGTGTGTGTGTGTGTGTGTGTGTGTGTGTGTGTGTGTGTGTGTGTGTGTGTGTGTGTGTGTGTGTGTGTGTGTGTGTGTGTGTGTGTGAGAACAGCTCTCACTTTGGGCTCCTCCTCCACAGCCTCAGTCAACCCTGAGATATTATAACCACACTAATGACCCTTTGAAAGATTTATTTCCGGACCAATACTGCCCCTTCCTCTATTCGGACATTTTCATTAAAGGGTTAAACTGAAAGAAAACAAACATACCGACTGATATTGTGTTACCTGAAACTTTCTCTCTCTCTGCTTTTACACACCTGAAATTAAATAAACAAGTTCAAGTTATCTTCAATAGTCAAATGCACAACATAACAGGCAAAGCAGTCATAGCTGGCAATGACATTTTTGTGTTCCAAGCTCTCCTTAACAATGCAAAAAAAAAAATAGTATAAAAGATAAGAGTAAAAAGAGTAACAACGTACAGTGCAATGAAGAACCAAAAGTTTAAATAAAACTAGAATATATGTACAGTATATATATATATATATATATATGTGTATGTACAAGGATCTCACCTGTTGTTTATCAAAACTTTCACTCTGCATCTCTCCCTCAGCTCAGGCAGAGATATCCCATCATGCCCTGAGGGGTCAGAGGTCAGCATGTGTACAGGTGTGATGGACGGTGTGGCCTTTAACACCTACACTGAGTTCTTCACACACACACACTCCATGTGTCACTTCCTGCAGTCTGAAGCCTGGCAGAGCCGAGCCGAGGGCACCATGTACAGGTAACACATTATGCACAGGTAACACACCTGTACAGATAACACACCTCCACAGGTAACACACCTGTACAGATAACACACCTCCACAGGTAACACACCTGTACAGGTAACACACCTCCACAGGTAACACACCTGTACAGATAACACACCTCCACAGGTAACACACCTGTGCAGGTAACACACCTGTACAGATAACACACCTCCACAGGTAACACACCTGTACAGGTAACACACCTGTACATGTAACACACTACACAGGTAACACACTGTACATGTAACACACTGTACAGGTAACACACTGCACAGGTAACACACCTGTACAGGTAACACACCTGTACATGTAACACACTGCACAGGTAACACACTGTACATGTAACACACTCTACAGGTAACACACTGCACAGGTAACACACCTGTACATGTAACACACCTGTACAGGTAACACACCTGTACATGTAACACACTGCACAGGTAACACACTGTACAGGTAACACACTCTACAGGTAACACACTGCACAGGTAACACACCTGTACAGATAACACAC